GCCACTGAGATGCGAACCCACTGCGCCCAAGGGAAGAAGCAGCGCGGAGAGCAACGATGGGGCGTGGGGGCTGCTTTCCCCAGATCCGCTGGGACCTGCACATCTGCATCTGAATGGGATGGGGCATCTAAGCAAGGAGTCCGAACACCTGCTGCGGGGACAGGGGGAGAGAGCGAGGCCCCTTTGTAAGCAGCCCCGCGAATTAATTCGGACAATAAACCCTACTCCTGTACCCTCAGCGACCCCCTACCCTGACACACATACACTGGCAGCGTCAGCACAGATCATCTGAAATACGCTTTTCAAGGCCGACGTGATTTTTACAGATCAAAGAAACGAATTTAAATGCCCCCCCCCGCCCCAATAATTCTTCCTTTTCAATCCTAAAATCCGTGCAACCGCAATCCCAAAGATACTTCTAACTGCATACGCAGAAATGCCCCGGAGGTGAGACCAGCCTGCGGTGATTTTCCAACATCCAGAAACGAGCAGAGAGTACCAAGGCCCTGGCTCCCCCGCCAAAACGCGCGGGGCCCCTGTAGCGGCAGCTGCGCGCCACTCGCCTGCCGCCCGCGTCTGTGGGGTTTGCCCCGCACGAGTCGGAGCCGCAAGTATCAAGACAGCTGGGTTGGGGGAAGGGGAGGACGGGACCTGTCAAGACCCCGAGCCTATGGAACACCTCCAGGTGACGAAACTGCCGAGAGGAAGCTGGCGTGGTGGTGAGGAAGGCACCCGGCGCAGACGCCTGCCGCGCGGAGAAAGGCAAAGGCACAGACAGCCAGCGACTTCCGCGCAGAGTCCGTCTGGAGCGAAAAGAGAGCTCTCCACAGAAACCCACGACTCAGAGCGGGGAGCTCTGTGAGAGGGTCCGATACGACCTCCCAGGGATTGTCGCCCAATCCATCCCGGGGGCGGGCGAAGACACCGGAGACACCCGCCTTCTTAGCACAGCAGTCCAAGCCTCCAGGCCTCTGAAGGGGCCGCAGCTCGTGCCCGCCACAGCCGGCTCGGCTACGAAAGGAGGCGGTGCCCGCTCCGCCCCGCGCCGCGCCCACTAGCTGGAGGAAAAATTCGTTCCCGAAACCAGAGCTGGGAAGCCCTGTCCCTCTTACAAGCTTTTTCTGTTGGTGCGTGTCTATGCTGACCTTAAAGAACAGAGTAATTTCGCTCCAAAACTCCAACATGTTTTGCTCTCAAGTGCTCTGACGAACATAAAGCTTAGGAGGTTTAATTATCCTGCATGACCTCTGTCCACCTCTAGTCCTCTTTCACCGTTTCTCCAGAAATCTCAGAGCACCAGTCCCCGGGGACAAATGTGAGCTGGGGCTCATCATTCTGGACGGTTCTTCTGGAAACATCTCTAGGTCCCAGCCTACCCAACCTTTTGAACCACGTATCCAAATAATTTAGGCGCAAACACAAACTCTCCTTGCTTCTCTTTGGCCAGATGAGCAGGGTTTGAATTAAATCCTGAATCTGGTCCGTAAAGACCCAATGCAAGCTGCCTCCTCCCATCTCCCCCTAAGCTCAAAATCTTTTCTCCCTTTCTTCTGCAAGGTCCCTCGTTTAAACAGCGTCGGCGCCTTTATTCGCCTGACCCGATGCGGAGGAAAACCGGCCTGATCAGTCATTGTCTGGTCCGCGACCGCCCCCACCACGGCCGCAATCAGTGTCACAAAACGCCCCTTTCAACAGATTCCAAACCCTCTTCACCCGGGCTCACCGAGCCTTCAACTTCATTAAGTGCGCGCTGCGGCAGCGCTGGAGGAGGCGAAGTTTAAATAAACCCGAGAGGAAAAAGGAGGAGGGGTGGGCTGGGGAGAGTTGCTAGTCGAAAGGGAGAGAGTGAAGTATTTTTGAAAGAGGAAAAAAGTCATCGGGGAAAGCGCTTTGTAACCACGAAGACGCGCCTGCTGTGGCGAGAACAAATTGGATATGGAGGGGAAGTGTCCTCCCCCAGCTCGACTGGCGCTCCTGGGTGGTCCGGGGTGCCCCAAGAGAAAGAAAGATGGGGAAGAATCGGCGGAGAAAAGAATTAACCACTTTAATTGCGCTGCAAGAGAGAAGTGGGCAGGAGAGGCTCACTGATGCCTTGATCACCCAAACCAAATATCCTCCAATAAAATAAAATAAAATAAAATAAAACAAAACAAAATAAAGTAACTGCCCTTAGCCGTAGCTGGAAGAATATCAAAGTTTGAGAATCAAAGCTGTTCTCAGAAAGTAAATCTGCAAGATTGGGGAAATTGTGCCCGGAAAGACCCCCTCCCCCTTCTTGCGGCCTGGGGCCTCCCGGCGCCGGATGAAAAGGAATGAAATTGAACGAAATTGAACGAAATGAAGTGAAATTGACCAGTGAAATTCGCCAATTTTCTTCCCCTTTAAACTGCCCGCTCTCGGTAGCACTCTGCGAACCCCAAGCCGATTTTGTAGCTTTTTTTTTTCTCACTTCGAGAGATGAAGGTGTGCCCTGGATATTTTCTTATTATTGTCACCGATTATTGGGGCCTGTGGGGGCAGAGGCTCAGCTATCTTCCAGCCAGATGGTGGGGGAGCCCACAGGAGCCACTGGAGATGGGATGGCCTATTTCTCCTCCCCCCAAGGCTAGCCTCCTACGAAAGCCACCTCACCCTGAACACCAAACCTGTGCACCCACAGGGTGGGAGGGAGCCATCTACAGAGCCCCTCTGGTCTGGAAGGGATGAGTAGCCAGAGGACTCTACCAGAAAAATCTGAAATTCCCTCCTTGCCCCTCCCTACAGTCCAGGTCCCAGATAGGTCTTTGCCTGCTCCTAATTAGTAAGTTCCGGCCCACACAACCTGAAGGGGTCCCAAATTCCAAACACCTTCCCTCTCCCCTGCCTTCAGCATGCACATCTCCCAGCGATTCTTTTTCTGATGTTTTCCAAGACCAGTTGGGCATCGGTGGCTTCTTTCTGGACCCCAGTCCTCTGCCATAATTATATCTGGCCTATAACCGGCCCTCGTCGCTCGGGGGAAACTTAGGTCTGAGTTATGGGTCTGAAGTTCCAAGCTACCTAGAAGCCCCTGAAAGGGTGTGTCTCACTCCTCCCCAGTCCTCTCATTTCTACGTTTTCCTGATATGGATGCACCCCCTGATATACACATAAACACTAAGCAATACACACAGAAAAACTCACAGACGCTTTCACAAAGACACATCGAGGAAAACGGAAGGATTTGCTGCTTCTTCTGCAAGTAGCAGTTGTGGAAGCTTCTCATGTACCCGCCATGAGATATGAATTCTGACTGCCTTAATTTTCTCTGTTCTAAAGAGGAAAAACCAATTGATAAGACTTACTTGAAGCTCCAACCTAATATCTGGGAGTGATATATTTGTGGTAGATGAGATGACGTGAGCCACAGAATGTTTTATTGTGGGCAAACACACGGTCATGTTCAACCTTCCTCAAGTGAAAAGAAATGAAGGCAAACTGAGCAAAGGCAGTCACCAAGGGGCCAGCCAGAGACCATAAACCTGGTATCAACAGACATTCTCTCTCTATACCATTGAATTGTAGCCTTACATCTCCAGATGGTTTGATAACACCATGGCCCTCAGTATTCATCCTCCCTCCACTTCTCAGTCTCTCAAGAAGATGGAGGAGAGCGTACCTGACCTCTGGCAGAGGGGTTAATTTTACCAGATACCTGGCACCTTGTCTCTCCACTGGGGAAAGGGCTGAGAGACCCAGCAGTCCCAACCACTCTCCCTCAGCCCGGTGCAGTCTTCCCACCCTGTTCTGACCCTCTTCTGAGAAGGCACTCCGTCATCTTCCCCCTCCTTCTTTCCTACTATTGCTAATGCCTGGGAATCTGGTTCAAAAAACCTGTATGGCTTCTCCCTGCCTTCCCCTCTCAAATTCTCTACATCTGTCTTCTTCCTTCTCTGTCCCTCACCTCCCAATCATTGCCCTCTGCATGCGTCTATTTTCTGTGAAGGCTAAACTCCCTCTTCTGCACCTCTGTATCACTCCTTCTCTCCTATGACCTCAGTTGAAGGTACAGAGAAAAGAGCTACAAAGTAACCACCTTTGTTTCACTCAAAGCATCTCTTCAAACCCAAGGTCTTGCAAGTCTGGACACTGGGAGTTCCGGGCACAGGCATCAAGCTGGAAGCCTCAAACAGCTTATGGAAGACACTAGCCAGTCCAACGACTTTGCCCTCAAGCAATAGGTTCTGACTATGAACATGGATCAAGGGTTGGGGAGGTTTTCCCTAACAGAGTAGGACTACACTGACCCTCTCCTTTAGCCTATAGCCACCTCAGACTGGAAAAGAGAGGAGTTTCACAGTCCCCAGTTCAAGCCTTTTATGCCGACTGTTCCGTCGTCGTGGTGTGGGGCAGGAGTACATCAATGAAGATTCTACAGTGGCAACAGAAATCTCACTCCTTTTAGGAACACAGGAAGAGACAGTGACAGAATCACAGACACTCACATAAATTAAAACACTGACACCTGACATACATCTCACCCCCCCCCAAAAGGACAACAAGGCAACCCAGACAAACACAAATCACAAGCTCCATAAAAGCCCCCTGTGCATAGGAGCACACTGAAAATGCATCAAGAGACACAGACATTCAAATGCCACTTAATCAGTGTAGTGTCCATGAGTACTGGGCACCCAGATCTGCCCAGCCCATGCTTAAGTCTGAACTTGAAGGAGATGAGACTCCCCAGGTGCCTTTGAAACAAAACCTCTCTGCAAAACTCCAGGCAGAAACCTTCCTGGACTAGAGCAAAAATGAAAGTGCTGGATGAGTCACAGGCCTCCCAGAGCTCTGAACAGCAATGGCCAACGCCACAGTTTCCCCCTACATACCAAGTAAGCCCATGCCCTACTCTGCCTGCCTGGGCCGCCCAGGGCCCTTCCTCAGTCCACCTCTGCCCAGAAGCTGGGGCTGTCCGGGAGAGCCCCGACTAGGTAAAAATGGGGGTGCAGGCAAGCAGACAGCGCTGGTGACTGCTGGAGTTCACATACATTTATTCAATTGACACCAATGGGGACTGGGGGAAGACAGATTTTTCTTTTCTTCCACACAAACCATCAGATGATTTTACAGAATCTCCCCACAGTGGAGAATTCTAAATCAATGCACACCCAGTGGACAGAGAATGCAGATAGCAGCCCGCTGTACAGATATTTACACATAATTACAGGACCCCCTGCCACAGGATGTGCCCTGGCCCACCCCACCCCCACCTACTCCAGTCCCTGACCCAGACCCTCCTCTCCCACCCCAAACTCATTGCCTTAGCTACAATAAATATCCCAGGGCCTGGGGCAGAGCAGAACGCTGACAGGGCTGCTGGCCCTGGTTGGCTGGACCCAGCCGGCCACGAGAAAGAGGAAAAGTTCCTTCAAAAGCACCCCAACACAAAAGAGGAAGGATGTTTTCCAGCGGAGTGGAATCCAGGGTTTCCGCAGGGATTGCGGAAGCCCCTCATTTCACCTCTCGGTTCAGCTTCACCTGTGTAGACACAGCTTTAGGCTTCAGAGAGAACGAACTTCCTTGAAGAAAGGCAAAGGGGAAAAAGTTGAATTTTTCTTTTAAGCACGAAGCAGGTAATAGGTGTCTTTAAATTATAATATTGGGTAGGCAGGGCTTCAAAGTCGGGGAAGAAGTGGAGGAGAGATAAAGACCTCTCTGCGCAGTCGGTGTTTCAGGCAGGATCCGGAGAGCCTGGGAGGGCATCGGGGAAAGCATTCTTCCCGGGCTGCCAGAAGCGCAGAGGCTAGGAAAATGCGAAGACTTCCCCCTCCCCTCTTACTGCTCAAACTGGAATGGGATCATAGCTTGCGACCTCGTTGCGCAGACCCGGGCCTCTCCCTGAGCGATGGAGCCCGCTTCGTCCCAACAATCGCCGAGATTCTGAGCGTGGAGCCAAGTCACGCGCAGGCCCAAGGTCTGGAGACTCTTCATAAATACAGACTCCCTGAGTTCCGCTGGGGCCGCAGGAGCTCTCGGGAGAGGCTGAGGAGTACGGGCCTAAATGGCCCTGAGCCTGACGCGGTCAGAAGTGGCAGCCACTGAGACCAGCAACTTTGCCGGCAAACGGGGGCCCTGAGGACAGGAGGGAGTCCCCGGGGTGCGAGAGGCGGATGTGGCTGGCCACTGGAGCCAGAGCCGGGGCAGTCAGCATGGCCAAGACTTGGGCTTGACCCCCAGGACCGGCCGCCGCTGCCGCGAACGGTGATGCCGGCGAGCCCTCGCCTCCGCCCGGGGGTGCTGCCCCGCCGCCACCGTGGCCCATGATGTGGTCTATAGAGAATGAAGGCCTCTGCCCGGCCCCGGCACCCCCAGCGCCTGCACCACTGCCCGTGTCTGTCTTGAGGCCCTGGCGCAGGAGTGCGGTGGACAGACCGGCCGCTGTGCCAGCTGCGGGAGGGCTCAGTGACGCGGGGTAGAAAGCTTTGGCGCAGCCCAGCTCTGCGCCCAGGAAGGCGGGCAGGCCTGCGGGGCCCGAGCCCGGGCCAGACCCTGTGCCAGGGGCAGGCGCAGGGGCCGGAGCCGAGGCTGCGCCCGCGAACACAGAGGCCGTCGGAGGTCCTGGTGGAGGCGCAGCGGCACGACCTGTGGGGACGGACAACTGGCAAGGCGCAGCAGCGGCCGCGGCAGCGAAAGCGAAGGCGTGTGGGTGTGGGTGCGGATGCGGGGTCGGGCCTGGAGGGGGGGCGCCGTAGGCAGGGAGCGCCAACCCGTAGCTGTAGCCGTAGGCGCCGTAAGCGGCGAAGCCTGGCAGGAAGGCGCCCGGGTCCCCAGCCGCCGCAGCGCCCCCACGCAACAGTAGCTCTGGGTGAGGGTGTGTGTGTGGATGCGGCGGCGGTAGAGGCTGCCGCTTGAAGCGCTTGCGGCGCCGCAGGAAGCTGCCGTTGTCGAACATGTCGGCAGACTCCGGGTCCAGCGTCCAGTAGTTTCCCTTGCCCGGGTTGCCAGGTTCTCGGGGGATCTTGACGAAACAGTCGTTAAGGGAGAGGTTGTGGCGGATGCTGTTCTGCCAGGCGGGGAACTTCTCCCGGTAGTAGGGGAAGCGACCGCTGATGAACTCGCAGATCTCGCTCAGCGTCAGGCGCTTCTTGGGGCTCTGCAGGATGGCCATGGTGATGAGCGCGATGTACGAGTAGGGTGGCTTCACCAGCGGGCTCCGCGTTGCCGCGCCCCCCGACGGCGGTCCGGGTCCCGGCCCCGCCGCGCTCCGGGCCGCCGCTGCGCCTGACCCAGGGCTTCCCGCTGCGGCCGCCGCCCCCCGCGGTGCTAGAGCGCGGGGCTCGCCGTCAGAACAGCCGCCCGACTCCTCTTCCTCAGCTGCGTCCGCCTCGGCTTCCTCCGAGGGAGGCTCCGGGCCGTGCGGGAGCACGTCCCGCGGGACCCGGGGCCCTGGGCGGGCCAGTAGTTCTCCCCCACCGCTGCTGCCCCCGCCGCCGCCCACCACGTCTATGTCTGCGTCCGTCTCGGACAGAGCGGCCGGGGAGCTCTCGGAGGACATGATCTCGCAGCAGCAGCTGCCCAGGGTCATGGTGCCGCCGCCGCCACCGCCGTTCTCGGCTCCGCTCCGGCCGCGGCTCGGGCTCCGCCGCGCTGCCTCTAGGGCGAATGTGTTTTGCGCGCGGGCGGGGAAGGGGCGGGGGACTGAGGCGGGTCGGGAGGGGTTCCCCCAGCTCTGCAGCGCCCCCTCGTGGCGTAACTCGGCCGCTCTCACCTCTGGGCGAGCACCCAACTGGCTGCTCTCTCCGCTGCCCCGGGAGCCCTAGCCGCGGCCTGCCCCCGGAAGGAGCTGAGGCCTCCTATCGCACTGACCAGTCTCCGGCCCCGGGCCCCCCGGGTTGTGGGGAAGGGAGGGTCGGAGAATTCGTCCCTCCCGCCCAGCGGCTGCCTAAGCGGAAGAGCGCGAGCCCAGGGCGGAGCTCCTAGGGTGGGGCGGGGCGGGAGGCGGCGGGCGGAGTGGCTCCGCGGAGGGGCCCGGCGGGAACAAACAACCGCGGCTGCTGGAGCTCTACTTCCCCGGGAGGCAAGTCCTCATCTTTTCCGCAGACCCCACAAGTGCTCCGTTCCCAGGAGCCGCTACCTTCAGTGGGCTCAGCCCCTGTATGTTAAGGTTCACATGGGCGCCAACCAGAGCTGGGAGAAATAGCGACAGCCCCCACCCCGTCGTCTATCCCCACTGCAGCGCTGGGCCACCGAGGTCGAAACGCTGTTGAAGTGCGAAGGGAGCCTGAGACTCCGACACAGACGCCGCAGGAGCGGGGCCCGCCAGATCCTGAGCGGCTTCCGGCCCAAGGGGAGACGTACTTGAGTAATCGCGAGGAGCAAACTTGGAGCTCTCCACCTCGGGCCTCGGAGAGGTGAGAGATTCCGACTGCTCCCCTCCCTCTCCTACAAGGTTGGACCCGGTCGCCATCCCCCTTGCCCCGTCTCTAGACTCCAGACGGGAGAGTGTGCGCCACAGACCCGGGGAGTGCGCCGCCTGCCCGTCACTCCCGCCCCGAAGCTTCTGTGCCGCGCCCTCATTCTGTGAGCGCGGTCCGACCCAACGCTCCGAGTTTGCCTGCACTCAGACCCTTTTCTGTCTCAGTATCTGTTTGTCTCAGGCTCTGTGATTCTTTGTCTTTCTCGTGCTCGGTGAATCCTTGTCTTCGTTTCCTGTGGAAACTCTGCATTTGCTTGGATGTCTGTTAGTGGGTCTAGGAACCCCCTCGCTCTGTTTTCCTCTCTTCCCCACGCCCTGACTCACGGAAGGGCTGCCCCCCAACTTTCTGGCCGGACTTGTAGGCTCTACAGACGGACAGCAGGACTCCCACGGAGACCTCCCCCAGCGAGCCTGTCTGCAGCCCTGGGCCATTACTGCCTTCATCTCTCAGAATCCTGAGCACACAGGTCAGTCCTGTGCCCTTGTGCTACTGCCGGGTTCCTTCCCATCTCATTAGGCCTCTTTCTCCGCTGGTCTCTCTCTAGGAACCCAGCAACGGGCAGCACCAGCTCAGCCTGGGCTCGTCTCAACCTCTGGAGGGTGAAAGGGGAGATGGGCACTAGAGGTGGGCAAGAACTAAGTGGAGGGACCGGCTGCTGCCCCGACAGCGCCGCGCAGTGGCTAAAGCTCCGACAGGCGAGGCCTGAGACCCAGCAGCCCGTTCCACCGACACAACGTTACAGGGCAGTCAGCAGGTTTCTTCCCCTGCCCAGCCTCAGCTTCCTTCTTTTTGAAGTAGTTAAGAGTAGGGAGGCAGCCTGGAGTCAGGCTTCTGGAGTCCCAATCCTGCAGTTATCATCTCCGCCATCTTGCATAGTTTCATAACTTTTTGTACCTCTGTTTCTTCCTCTTTAGAAATAAGATGAAAAATACCTCAGTCGTGACTAATAGGCAGTAGTAAACAAATCATTGTGGGCTACTTTTGAAGAGGGTATTGTGAGCACTATAAAGACTCTTGGGGAGAAAGAAAGGAGTTGGAGGTAGTGTGATTTCCTACCTGATCTCAAGCCTTGGTACAGCCCCCTGACTGGGTGGGTTGCCACTGCCATCTCCTCACTGTGCTGAAGTAGGTTCCCTGTAGAGAAGCACTGGAAGGAGGGTGGCAGGGAATTTTTAGCTCCTGCAGGCTGTTTCTTAGCAGGGCCGATGTGAGGGTGGAAGAATTCTCCCCTCCGTCTAAAAGCAGCCTCCAATGTATGGAATAATTTAATGTGAATCAAACTCTTCAATTCCACAGGCAGGGCAACAGAGTCCCCAAAGGGGGAAAAGACTCCTCTAGGCTCCTCCAACAATTCAGACCAGGGCTGGGTGCAACCATTGCCACAGATTCCTCAAGCTAGAGTTCTCCATTCTCCTGAGCCAAAGGAGGGTGGAAGGTCTGACTGCTCCTGTCCTGTGAGAACGCCTCCTCCAAGCTTCTCTCTGGGACCGCAAACCAAGGAGACCCACCTAGTGTGCTGGGCCTGTGTAAACACTGGTCTTGGGGAAAAGAGAACAGGCCCAGTCCTGAAGCCATAGACAGGAAATTGGGCAGGGACTGGTGGCCCTGGCACCAGAATTTTCTAGGTGATGAAGATGGGGTGGGGTAGGGGGTGTGGAGGAGAAGCTTTGGAGAGAAGTTTCTTTCATGAGTCCAGATAAACTCTCATACCTAGGGTTGCTAGATTGAGCAAATTAGTTTTATCTGGCAACCCTGCACATGCCCCCAACTCGCTCAATCTCTCTCATATCACAGACAACCTACACGGTCTACCACACACCAACTCCAGCCCAGCTCAGCTCTGCTAGTGTCTAAGTAAATGGAGAGAAAAACAAGACCAGCCCCATCCCACTCCATCTCACCTTCTAAATGTCTTGCTTTCTAGAATGGCAAATGTCAATAAGTAGCTTCCTTCGTTGCCAGAGCTCTCCTGGTTCCCCATGCTCCAGCCCCCTGGCCAGCTTCAGGGAAGACTGGCTGAGGCATTTGCTCCAGATATCCTGCTTCTAATGCTACAGGCAGAGCTCCACAGAGCAGCTGCAGTTGCAGGCCCCTGCCTCTGCCTGGCCCTGCTTCTCACCGACTGCTGCTGAGACTCAGGTTGGGGAACTGGGACACAGGACCCCAGCCCCAGTTCTGCGAAGTGTGAGTGTCACATGATCTTCAACCACACATAACTTTTACAGGAGTGGGAATCAGGGAGGCCCAGGAGATCATGTGATTTGCCAGGCTTTTTGCCAGGGGTGGAGAGTGGGGGCTAGGCAGTTGCTGTGGACCCAGGTGTCTGGACTCCCAGCCCAGACCTGATCTGTTTATCCAAATAACTGCTTAGTCCCCGACCTGGCTCCACTCTTGTCTGAGAAAGGGTGTTTTGGGGAGCTTCTCATCCTTCCCAAGGTTCTGAGTCCATCTGTTTTGAATAATGTCAGGAGTAAGTGCACTGGGGGCTGGAAGAAGGGCTGGGGGGGGATTAGGGATTCCTTTCATTTCTACCTTTCTCCTGTGGCTGAGAAAGGTAGAAACGAAAGGAATCCCGCAGAGGCGGGAAGAGCCTTTCCCTTCTCTGCGACCCCTTCCCTCGCCCACCGCCGCGAAAACCTGGGTGCTCTTCCAGAAGCTTGGGCTCCAGCACCCATGGCTGCAGCCTCCAAGAAGCTGGAGGCGACAGGCTCTGGGGGACTTCTTACAAGACAGCGTGCCCAGCCTCTTTCTCCGTCTGCTTCACTATTTGGTCCCCTCTCTTGAGCAGCCCAGAAACGATTGGAAGGAAGTGTTTGGGGAGGACCCTTTCGGGAGTTTTCCACTCCACAAAGTTCGGATTACCAGGAGAAGTTGTTATATGTTTATTGAGCTGTGCTGCTATCAGTAGCGTCTCTCCCCATGTGTCACCTCCCTTCCCTTCTTGTGGTCCACGTAGCGGTGCTCTTCGAGCCCCGGAAAAACGAGAGCTAGCAGAAGATGATGGGAATATAATGAAGTCAATAGAGGAGCTGGCGAAGACGGCGCTGAGCTAACTGGAGGTGGGTGGCTGCACAGACCGATTGCCCGCGGCCTTCCCAAGGTTCCGGGAGCGCAGAGGTCTACGCCTCGGAGTGGCCAGGTCGCAAAGTGCGGACTGCGCTGGGCAAAGGTACACAACGCCTTCACACTTCTCTCATTTTATTCACAAACCTGGCTAGCTTCGGGGAAAGTGTTGAGACTCGAGCGGTCGCCCGCTCTTCCCGCCCCTTTACGAGGCCGCAGCTCTGGAATGAGACGATGTTTGGGCGCAGCCTGTACAGCTTCCGACCCCAGATCTTTGCCTTCTCCAGAGTGGTCAGCACCCTCTGCCCAGCTGGGAGGCTGGAGACTCCAGATCTGTGACCTGCAGGGTGAACCTTAGGCGGCGGGGTTCCTTACACTCAAGGAGCGGGACTCCGGATCGGAGTTGAGGGATAGGCCAGGCCCTCTGCAAGCACAGCACGAACAGGGCCTCCAGCGTACGTTCCTTCACTGCGGAAGCCCGCTTGCCACCCCCAGTGCCGGCTCGGGTCGGGCACACCCCGCACATGTTGACCCTCCACTTCTAGGAGGAAATGTCCATATTTCCTTCCATTATGCCTGGCCACAGTCCCCTCCCAGCCTTACCTATCCCGGGGCTACGTGGTGGTGGGGCTCGCTCGGGCACCCTGTGGCCCTAGGACTGCTCAGCGGTTGAGACCAGAGTGAGCTGCGGGGCCTGTCGACTGTTTTTCGTAGGAAGAGGGTTGCAAGCCCAGGAGAAGGTGAAAATAACGCTGCTCCCAAAACGCCCGACCTGGGGGCTGGTTTCGTAGCGACCGTGGTAAGGCAGGCTCCACACGTGTGGGAGACCTACAGGGGCGTAGCGGACACTTCTAGGTATGTCGGAGCGCGAACGTCAGGTCTAATGCCCCTGATATCTAAGTGCGCCCAGGGTTCCTGAGTCGGAGGATCTGTTTCTCTGTCCGTGTGTGTGGTCAGTGTGCCCCTCCGTGCAACAGTGGCTCTGGCAGCCCGAGTACTTTCCTGAGCAGCTGTACCGACCGTGTGTCCCGAGTCCTCCCTTCCCGAAAGCACAATCTGTGCGGGTGACTGCCTTTATCCCTGGATGGCTTGCCTTTAACCCAGGTCCTGAAGCGGCGTCATCTGGTCAGGGGACTGCAAACCTGCTCCATGCCCACAGCGAGACCTGGGCAGGGAGGGAGGACGTGTACGGTGCGAGCCTGGATAGGGTCTGGGACAATGGCAAAGGTAAGGGAAAGAGCATACAGGGACCACGCTGCGAAGAGCCAGGGGGGTTGTAGCGACAGCCTCCTTCTAACCAATTGCACGTTGCCTGCTGGAGTAGCAAGGCCCAGGAGCCCCACGCCCTTCCGGAGCCCAGAGTTGGTGTAGGGCTGGAGGCAGAAGGGTACAGAGCCGTCTGAACTCGGCCCCTTATGCAACACCAGCGTGCCTGTGTTTAGCCTTCCCGATTCCTAAGCAGAGAGGTGGAACTCGTAGGCTTCGCCGGCCGGGTGCCCGAGGTCTCGAGTGGATGCCAAATCGAGTCAGTCCCACGGAAGCAGAGCGAGAGACCTGCACGAGTCCTGGCCTTGCCTCGCAGACGCTAGTTACGGATTCCTGGGGGACAGCGCCCTCTAGAGGAGCCGCGCATCCACGCAGTCAAGAACTGGACGACGACGAGGTCTGGGCCTGGAGTTCCCCTTTCCCACGTCCCACGCCACACCTTTGACAAAATCATCCCAAGACCCACAGCCTCTAGACTCCTCTTTGTAAATGCTTGCTTCCTTTCCCAACTTATACTTAGGCTTCAAAACCCTCCTTAAATGCCGCTTCCTCCAGGAGGAAGCCTTCTCCAGAGCCCAGCTCATCTCCTCTTCCTGTTCTGAGATCCCAGAACCAAAACCTGAACCCTCGACTTCAGTGCTCGCACCTGGCACTGCGCAGCTGACCTGCTTCCAGCCTGGCCTTTCTCCAAAGATTGTTAATCCATCCCCTCCATTCCCCCTTTGCATTGCATGCTGGGTGTACTGTTTTTCTACCCTTCCCTACCCGCCCGCCCTTACCTCCAGTAAAGTAGGAGTGAAGTCATTTATCCCAAAATTGGACTGTAGGTTTCCAAAGTTTATTTCCCATATGGGGAAATTGAGATCCAGAGAGTGGGCTGACTTTCCCAAGGTCATACAGTACATCAGTAGCAGAGGTGGAACTAGATCCCTAGTCACCTTTCTCCCAGACCAAACCCCTCTCTCCGTCACCCGTAGGGGGAGCAGGTGATGTGGGGGAGGGCTCATTTTAAGGGGTGAGGACTGGTTGGAGGGGTTTTGACATAGGAGAGGGGAAATGCAGGAGGGTACTGGGTAGTGGGTCACTGCTCCAGGATGGAATAGTAAGAAAGGAAGGGAGGACAAAGCTTCATTGAAAGGTCAGACTATTTCTTCCCTCAACCCCAGCTCCAGATCAAGCTACTTGAAGGGCTCCAGATTTCAGGGGTCTTACATCAACAGCTAGGTCAGCTGGAGGCTGGGAACAGACTCAACTCAGGCAAATGCCATCCTCCTCTCTGCCCTGGGAAGGGAAGGAGGGGCTGAGAAACTTCTATTGCTAATACACACCCAGAGGGTGCTGCTGAGATGTTAGATCAGCAGTAGGAGTCCTGGTGCTTGAAATTATAAAAAGGGAGAAACGGGGAGGGCGATTTGCATGTGATTTGAATAAGACCCCAGCAATTCCTGCCCTGCAGTTTGAGGCCTTCTCAGAGATGCTGCTGGTCCTCATCTGCATGTCAAGCCTCACCTCTATCCCCTGAACTCCATTCATACCTGATCTGCTCTTTCTCTCCTCTTCATCTTTGCACTTGTCCTCATTCCTGCCTGGCTCACTCCTAATCCTTTGTCCATTTCAAAAGTCAAGCTTTATGAGCTGCTTCCCCTAACAACACCCCACACTGGCCAGGCTGTGAGGGACTCCTGCCCCTGTGCTCCCAAAGACGTAACTCGGTTGTCATGATTGGTTTTCCAATCCGTTGCCTTCTGTTCACTGTAAGCTCCTTGAAAACAGGCATTATATTGTTTGTATCCTCATCTTTCTCCACAAAATGGGGATAAGAATTGTACCCACCACACTGAGTTATTGTGAGGATTAAATGAGATAATGCATATAAAGCACTTAGCCCAGTGCCTGATACTTTGAAAGAGCTCAATACCTGGCTGGCGTAGCTCAGTGGATTGAGCACGGGCTGCGAACCAAAGTGTCACAGGTTTGATTCCCAGTCAGAGTACATGCCTGGGTTGCAGGCCATGACCCCCAGCAACCGCACATTGATGTTTCTCTCTCTCTCTCTCTCTCTCGCTCGCTCTCTCTCCCTCCCTTCCCTCTCTAAAAATAAATAAATCTTTAAAAAAAAAGAAAGAAAGAGCTCAATAAACAGTTCTTATCATCACCATCATTATTACACTCTACCTTCTGCCAGGCACAAAATCTAACGCATAGTAGGTACTCAATTAATGTTAGCTATGTAGACACAATGAATGAATGAATGAATGGTGTGGCATATCTCTTCCTTTTGTCTGAGATTTTCAAGAAAGCTAGCTTACCTCATCAATATAAATATGTGCATTCCAGAACAGGTATTGTTTCTCCCCCTACGGGTCCCATCCCAAAAGGGAGAAAACCATATCCCCCATCAGAGTTTCTCTGTGGTCCCTGACCTAGCAGTCACTGGGTGCCTCTTTTGTGCACTCTGTCTCAGTTTCCTTCTTTGAAATGGTTACAAAAAACTTCCAGTTATACACTCTAAGTCATGTGGATATAATGTACAGCATAATTATTATATTTGTAATAACTATATGGTGATAGATGGTTACTAGATTTATTGTGATCACTCTGTGAGTTATGTAAGTGTTGAATCACTATGCTCTACACCTGAAACTAATAATGTATTTTTCAATTATAATTTTAAAATAATAACATTTCAAAAATGAAATGGTTTTGACCAATCATACCAGCCAAACCCTGCCAAAATCTTCCACAGGCTCCCCATTGCTTATAATATAAAACTCATTCTCCTTAGCATGGTGAGCTAGTTTTGGGGTGTCCCAGTTCTCTTTTGGGTAAGACTTCCCCTCCCATATCCCATGTGGCCTGTTGGGACTGTCCAATCTCTGTCCCCTTGCACATACCTCCAGGAGCAGACAGGCAACCCAGCTGGATCAAACATAGCATTCCAAGTTCAAGGCCCAGTGAGTGGTCCAGGTGGCAGTAAATGACCTCTAGTTGGAGCCAATTATGGGTCAATCCTTCTACACAATTTGATGTATGGACTCTGGGACTCCAGGGCATACGGACTCTGGGGCTGTGGGACCGAGGGACACAGGGACTCTGGAGGGATGCTTCTCCTTTGGGATCAGAAGATAAACACACAGGCTTAGCTGCCATGCAGAGTGCTGTTTGACATGGAAGCCCAGCCACAGAGGGGAACAGCCTAAAGAAAGAGGCAGAGCTTAGTAACAGTGTTGCTTTCCCTTGTTGTTGGTTCTAGTTTTGCATGAAACTAGGACCCTTAGAATTTCCAGATATTCTAAAGATATTCTTTTTGCTTAAGCTAGGTTAAATTGAATTTCTGCTGGTTTGAGATGAATTTCACAAACAGCAGAGCCACAAAATAGAATGGTCCTGGGCCCCCAGGACCCCTGAGATGCTGTTCCACTTTGAACAGCCCAAGTAGACTTTTATCTGAAATAGAGATAAACTTCAGTCTTGGCGAAGACACTGTTATAACTGAATTGTCTTTGGGGGGAGGGTGGAGCCTGTTACTTATAACTGAACTTAACCCTAATTAATACAGGAAGGGATGGGAAAGTGTCTCATAGACACAAAGGAATTGTCTGGGTTTGTTAGCCTGGAGAGTAAAGGGCTCGGGGTTGACGTGTTCACTTTCAGATCTCTACAGGGCTGACCTGGAGCAGAGAGACCAGGGTGAAAGGGGCCTCGGTGTTATAGAGACTCAATTTTTGTGACTCCACGGGAGGAAAACATTCCCACAGGGCTGTCCTTCAGATAAGTGACAGGCTATTTGGATGGTACTATTGCTGGCAATGCTTGAGCAGGCAAGGTAATCACTGGGTAGGAATCTTGGAGGCAGCAGGAAAGAGTACAAACCTTAGAGCTGAGTTCAAATTATGCTCCCACTACCATTAGTCTTACACAAACGATCTTTCTAAGCCCTAAGCCCCAGTTTCCTCACTGTAAAGTATTCGGATAGCTGATTTGGAGACAGAGACTGAGGAAATTTCCTAGCCTGCTTCCTTGCAGAGACTCTTAAACCTTGTATTCTAGTTGGAGCCAATTATGGGCCAAGATACCTCAGTGAGGTTCCTTGCTCTCCTCTCCTACCTTGACATTTTTGAAGATGACTGCTCAACCTGCCAGGATAATGCACCTCCCCTGGTTTGTTCATGCAGCTGCAGAGGAGCAGTGGAGTCTGAGGTGAGGGGCCCAGGATCTACTCCCATTCCTGCCCCGCCTTCCTGTGCAACCTCAGATATGTTTCTGCCCCTCTCAGAGTACTCAGTTTCCTCATCTGACCTATGAGAAGTACATCCCCTGTTCTCGACGATATGTCTCCAGAATCAGGGCTCTTAACTACTGTGCCCTACCTACAATTCCACATAGAAGCAATTGCTACTCACAGCATATATGATGATCATGTACCTGCAAGGCCTTGCCCTGCCTAGGTTCCTGGTCATCCTAGCCTACGTCAGCCCTAAACCGTGCCACCTGCTACATGGGCTGACGTCAAAGGTCTGGGCCAGTCCAGAGGTTCCCTAGCTGCTGAGAGCCTTGTTTGCAGCCATGGAATTTGGCTCCCCCCCTTAGTTGTGGGCATGCCTTTCTCAGAGGGCTCTGCTTGATCTTCCCTAGTCCACTTCCTCCCACACAGCTGGGGCCATTCAGACTTGGGGGATTGGAGGCAATAAAACAGGAAATCTGAGGCCAGAGAGGAGCAAATCTTAGGGCATGATCCTATGACCAGAAGGGAGTCGCACTTGGAGCCCCATGTGGGGAGGGAAGAAAAGGGGAGATGGCAGCATTTGGCAGGAAGTCTGGAGATGTGAAGGTCAAGATTCGAAGAGCTAGCTCCCTACACCTGCCACTGATTCCCAGGACTTTGAAGGAGAAGGGAAAAGGAGCCACCATCCTGGACAGGTGGGTGGCCAGGGCACAGACCCCACCTAGGATGGAGGTGGCAAGTGCCCAGGCTTCCCAGATCCAGGGGCCAAAACACCTAGTGAGGGGACCTGGTGAGAGACTCTGATGGGAAGGTCACTGGGGAGGAGGACGGTGAGGTTCAAAAAGGTGAAATTCTAGCCCTGGATGGTGTGGCTCAGTGGACTGAGCATCAGCCTGCAGATGGAAAGATCACCAGTTCAGGGCATGTGCCTGGGTTACAAGCCAGGTCCCCAGCAGGGGGCTTGTGAGAGGCAACCAGTCCATGCATCTCTCAAGTATCAATGTTTCTCTCCTTCTCTTTCTCCCTCCCTTCCTGTCTCTCTAAAATAAATATATACAATCTTTTTAAAAAGAAGTAAAAAGAAAGAAAAGGTGAAATTCTGACCACTGTCACCAAGGGTCCCATTTGAGAAATGAAAGAAAACAGCTTCCAAAAGAGCCATTGTGGACACACAGGGAGCTTGGTGCCCTGACAAGGGCTGTGTGGAAATGCACTTTTGGAATTTTTCCTGCAGGCATCCCTGCATGCATAACATATGTACCAGGTCTCATTGCAGCTGGCTTGGGAATGTCAAAAGGTTGGAAATAATATAAAATGTCTACCAATGGGGGCTGGTTAAGTAATGGCACCTCTACATAAGGGAATAGCATGCTGTGTAAAATACAATAAAGAAGGTCTTTATGTATTTATCTGGTCAGAGCTCCAACATATATTGTTGACTGAAAAAAAAAATCAAGACATATAACACTGTAAACATTATGTTTCTAATTGTGTGTGGGTTTTTAAAGGAGAAAATAATGTATATTTGTTTTGGTTTATATATGCAACAAAAATAGGATGACTAAAAAACTAATAACTGTTTATTGGTATAAGAAGGGAACTTGCTATTTAATTATGTATTTTTTTAATCCTCACCTGAGGATATATTGAAGAAAGAGAGAGGGAGAGAGAGGTGGCGCGGGGGGGCGGGGGGTGGGCGGGTAGAGAAATCAACTGGATGCCTCCCACATGCCCTGATGGGGGATTGAACTCTGGGGACTGAACTCAAAAGCTAGGTATGTGCCCTGACGAGGTATAGAACCCTCAGTCTTTCCACTTATGGGATGCCACTCCAACCAACTGAGCCACCCAGCCAAGGCAACTTCCTTATACTTTTTTTTCATCCTCACCAGAGGACATGCTTATTGATTTTGGAGAGAGGGGAAGCAAGTGAGAGAGAGAAAGGGAGAGAAACGTGATTAGGTTGCCTCTTGTATGCAATGAGCCGGAAACCTAGGCACGTGCCCTGACCATGAATCGAACCCTCAACTTTTTGGTTTATGTGGCTCCACTCCAACCAATTGTGCCACACCAGCCAGGGCTACTTCCTTATACTTTTAAAGCCAAGTAAATATATTACCTATTCAACAACTAAATAAATACTTTAAAAGAAACAATGGAATCATTCAAATAAATAAGGCTAAGTATGCAGAACATAAAATAAAAAACACTACTATGTGCTGAACACATTCTATGGATTTCAACCTGAAAATACAGGTGGTGGCTATGGTGTTGAAGGCAGGGGCAGGACAGCCTGACCTGGTGGGTGTCCATGAGCGTTGGCTTGCTGCCCTTCAGACAGGGAAGTAGACGAGGCTGCTAGTCAGGACCCCAGATTTCCTACCTTGCATTTCTTCTCTTCTGTTTCTATCCCTGTCTTTGGCTCTTCTCTTGGTCCTACCTAAACTGCTTTGAATAGTCAGACGCTCTCAGTCTGCCAGGCCAGACAGGGGTTAGGATGGAGGAAAGGGGTTTTCATAGGAACTGGAGCAACAGGCCCTCTGCTCTCTTCCTTCAAAAACCAAACCAGAGCTCACCTCCTCCAGGAAGCCTTCCTCATGAAGCCCATAAAGTCCCCAGCCCCTCTGCCACTCAGGAAGACAACCTGATGTCTAAGGTGGGGTCTCCCTCAAGAAGCATCCAGGCATCTCTAATTCTGCTCCACCCTCTAAACCCCAAGTCCAGCCTCCAGACGAGAGGTAGCTCAGGCCAAAGCCTGGCATGCCCAGCCCTAGCCAGGCTGCCCAGTGA